ATTAAAAAAAAAAAGAAATGAATATGCTAGGACACATGCCCTGCTATGCATGGGAGCTTGGTAAGTTACAACAAAACATACTTTGTTGATACACGTCATGAAAAGGCATGAATCATAGAAGTTATCAAAGAATAACCATAATCACTGGGACCAGCAGTTAGTGTAATGGCCATATTGCTGGACTCCCATGTAGTCGACCCGGTGGCTTAAACTCAAGTCGGGGGCGTGTGCATGTGTGCCCAAGATCCCAAGAGGAGAATGGAGGAGAAGGGAGTGCGGCATGGCCATCCCCCCTGGGGGGTGATTTCTCACTTTCTGTCACTCTGTCTCTCTCTCTCTCTTTCTGGCAAGCGCACGTGCCCTGTAGCAAAAAAACCTTTCGGAAAAGAGAAAGAAAGAAAGAAAGAAAAAAAAAAAAGAATAGCCATAATCATTAAAAAGCAAGAGTAAAGATAAACTCATTTAGTTCAACCCTTCATTTTTTAAAAAAGAACTATTTATTTAATTTTATTTATTCATTCATTCATTTTCATTTGATCAAAGAGACACAGAGGAAGGGAAGATGAGAAAGCAAGCCACCAGGCCCAGGACTTGATCCATGGTCAGCCATATGGGAGTGTCTAACGCCTTAACTACCACACCACCCACTGGTCCCTCAATCCTTCATTTTAAAGATGGAGAAATTAGGACAAAAGAATGGTTTCATCCATGGCTAGGCTTTCTCATCATTTAATGTGAGGATCTGCTGGAGAAGTCCAGGGACATTCTCCTTCCTACCCCTGAAAACACTGCCTGCTGCTCTTGAGGCTGACCCACTTCTGAAGCCTTGCCTTTCTGGAAGGTGTTCCAATACACTTTGAGTGTGCTAACAGGGCAACGATTTTCCATCAACCCTTTCCTTTTCACAGTGTTAGTTCCACTAGGTGACTCGTTAAATGGAAAATACCTGAACTGTATCATTTCCTCGCTGCACATGCTTATACTGTTCTTAAGTTCCAGCATCTTTTTCCATCTCGTGGGATACAAAGCATTTGGAAAAAATGGAGGTTTTTTGTTTTCTTTTTTTCCCTCAAATTAATTAACAGTCTAGCCACATTTGTGAATGTTTCCTGACCTTAGAAATTACAGTAGTCTTTTTCCTGTTTATGTTGGTAAAACACATGATACAAATATATTTACAATCCAATAAAGCATTCCATTCATTTTTAGGATATAATTAACAATAAAAATACTTTTCTAGTGCTAACATTGGGATAATATACTTAATTAACTAGCCATCCAAGGCCAAATGCGAGTCAGTGTTCTAGGAACTCAGTGGCAAAGATGGTTCACATTTAATGTGGTCATAGAAGCTTCAGTGGAGAAGCTAAGGTCTGCACCAAGCCTAGACAGATGAGTGATGTTATTTCTGTGAACCCCTGAAGGGCAAGGACCACGACTTATCATCTTTGGAAGTTCCCAAAAGAACCATGTCTTTTTTTGCCTTTTTCTACCCTGCAGTACATATTTGTTGAATTTAAATTAGTTGACAGCTAGAGGTAATAGCAGAGGGTTTTTTTAGGCTGGGGTAAACAACCCCACAGTGTAGTGATAAATCTTCTGTGTTAGGAAATCCCCAAGAACAGTCTGGACAGGAAGGCTTCTCATTGGAAAGTAGTGCAAACAAGGTTCTAGGTTCGACAGGCCGACTGAGGCCAAGACGAAATGCTTATACCTTATCCTAAGGCAATGAGGAGTCATGGAAATGTTTTTAGTTAGGGAGTAAATGGTATAAAAATTAACTGGAAATAATGGACAAGAAGGATAAGAGGTGAGATGTTATATTTGATCACAATCCCATTTCTTGTCACACAACTCCTAAAGCCCTTAGGCTCTCCAATGATGAGTCTTTTTGATGGCTGGGGGCTCCTAGACAGCTTCTGAATGGAGGTGGGATGCCAAGTGAGCCAACTATGTGATTAGAGGGTTGGAAGTTCCCACCCCACCCTCCTAGCCTCCTGACAAGGGAGGACAAGGTATTAAAAGTTAATTGCCAATGAACAACTTAATCAATGATGCCTACATAAAGAGTCCTCCATGGGGCCAGCAGGTGGCATGGTAGGTAAGGCATTAAATTCCCACATGGTCGACCACAATTCAAGTCCTGGACCTGGTGGCTTAAAAATCATGCTGGACATGTGTGCATGCATGGCCAAAATCCCAAGAGAATGGAGAAGAAGGGAATGTGGCATCGCCATCCCCTCAGGGGGTGACTACTCACTTTCCCTCTTTGACTCTCTCCAGCGAATGTATGCACCCCATGGCAAAAATTTATTTAAAAAAAAAATTCTCCATGAAACCTTGAAAGTGCAGATTCAGAAAGCTTCTGGATAACTGGACATGTGGAGATTCCCAGAGTGTGTGCCTGAAGAAGGCATGGAAGGTCTGTGCCCCTTCCCACATGCCTTATCTATGCACCTCTTCCATTGAGCTGTTCAACTGTGTCCTTTGTAATGTCCTCTATAGTAAATGAGTGAACATAAGAAGAGTTCATCTCAGCTCCTCTGAGTTCTGAGAGCTGCTCAAATTAACTGAGCCTGAGTACAAAGTGGTAGGCACCTCAATTTGTAGCTGGTTGGTCATAAAAACAGGTTGTCCTACTGGGACTTGTGACCAGCACCTGATGTGAGGCACTCAAAGAACTGAGCCCTTGACTCTGGGATCTGATATTATCTCCAGATAGTGTTAGAATCAAACTGAATTAGAGGACACCCAGTTGGATCCAAGTGAGAACTGTTTGGCGTATAGGCAAAAATCTCCGTACATATTTTGGGGACCAAAAGTGAAATGTTCTGTGTTGTTTTAGCTGTGTAAGAAAAAAAATTATTTCTCTCACAGGAGGGAGAAAGAGAGAAGCATGTTATTCTGTGGCTAAGCTCAAAGGCTTAGACCTGAGCTTCCTCAGTTCAAATCCCAGCTCCTGCATTCCTTAGTCAGACAATCCTGAGTTTAAGTTAAGCCTCAATTTTCTTACATAGGACACAGTAACAGTACCCACTTCATAAGATTGCCATGAGAGCTAAATAAGATAATTCATCAAAAGTGCTTAGTGAGTCTAATGTCTGGCATATAGTGAGCTGTCAATTAATGCCCAGTTATAAAGAAAGTCACCAAAGCGAGGAAGTACTTGCCATTTTCCAACTTAGCAAAGAATTTCACTAGTCCACTATTCAAGCAAGCTACATAATCCATGTTCTCTACTTGGTAAATTAAATTATATCTTATCCTTTATGATTGCTCAACAATTACTCATTCATATTCTAGACAAGTAATCTGTTAAGCAGCCAAAATGGCAAATTCAATTCTCACACCATCTCATCCTTACTCCCACCACTTCAGCCAGCTACTTCCAGGACTGAATTGGAAAGAATAACTAAAAAACTTTTGAAGGAAACCTTGAAACTCAAAAGTCTCTTTTTGTTAAGTCCACAAATTATCCTTACCTCATGGCTTCATATTGCAGATCACAGGTGCCCAACTTGGAGTAGGAGAATCCCAGAGTTATTGTAGGAGGCTCACAATACAATCTGGGCTCAAGCATTGTTTAAAAAACAAAAGTCACTGGGCCAGAAAGTGGACAGCAGTAAAACATGATGCGCTGAAAGTCAATTCTATGTAAGAAGATTTTGGGTTAAGTCCAGAGACCTCCCTGGGTACACCAGGCATGCACTTACCCATGATCCAGGTCTGGCTGAAGGCTGGGAGTAGATTACAATGTCAAGACCCTATTAATGGTGCTGTTTCACTCTCTGTATCTCTCTGTCTCTCTCACTCATAGGAGAAATAAGTTAATGAAACTTTAAATAAAATTTACATAAGATATCTTATATGCATGTCTACAATGTTTTCAAATTTGATCTGATTAGGGCCAGACAGTAAAATGGTAGTTAAAGCAGCTGGATCCCACATAGCTGACTATTCAGTTCAAGTCCTAGACGTGGTGGCTTGAAAAACATGCCAGGCATGTGTGCACACAAGCCAAAAATCCCAAAGGAAGACACAATAGAGAACATATTATGGCATGACTAGCCATCCCCCTGCCAAAGGAAGGTGTTTTCTCACTTCCTCCTCTTTCTCTTTCTTTCTGTCTCTCTCTGGCAAGCATACATGATCTTCAGCAAATTAAAATAAATCTCTTCTGGTCAGGAAACAGCAGGTGGCATGGAGGTTAAGGTGATTGGATTCCCACATAGCCAACTCTGCAGTTTGAGTCCCAGATCTGGTGGCTTGAAAAACTGGTATGTGTGTGCATGCCCAAAATCTCAAGAGCCAAGAATGGAGGAGAAGGGATTGCAGCATGGCCATCCCCAAAAACGATGATATCTCTCTCTCTCTCTCTCTCTCTCTCTCTCTCTCTCTCTCTCTCTTCTCTCTCTCTCTCTCCAGCAAGCACACACTCCCTATAGCAAAAACTGAAGGAAAATATCTGTTCTGATAATAAATTACAAATTTATTGTCAAACATTACTGCTGTACAACATTTTGTCATTATATATTTCTCAAGATGCAGGTGCAAAATATACCAGTATTCCCAAGTAAAGCTCCTAAATACCTTTTGACATTTTAAGGCAGACCACTTGACTGAGGTCATCAGGAAAAAAAGACACAGGTGCAGCAAGAAAAGAAGTATAGCTCACCTGTCTTTAGATAATAGGCAGCTGTATGCCCAGGTTCGAGACAATAAAACCCTTAAAATAACTCAGGGATTGAAGCTATTAAAGTATGCACACTACCATCAGAAATTGTCTTCCCAAGACCTAGAAAAGATTTTCAATAGCAAGAAAAATGTGAAATATGAGAAGTTTGCTTCTTTCCTCTAATCCCCAAACTAGACATCACTAAATAAAGGGGTAAAATCTCTACATGAAAATCCCAGAATTTTCATCCAGAGAAAAGTCAACCAAGAAAAGCATCAGAGTGAAAACATGATAAAATTTTATAGCATCTACAATAAGCTCTTACCTGTTCTGCCATTCAGGAGGATTGGCTTGCCTTCGAGGTCTCCTCTCATCGGCACAACTGTGATCTTATACTCCGTCCCAGGCTGCAGACCTGGAAGCAAGTGGCCAGCACTATATGTGAGTCCAGGGTCAGGAGCACCACTCCCCATCTCTCTCTATAGGCCCATTGGACAAAGAGCTGGAGGACTAGTGCAATATGAGGTGTCATCAAGGGGCTTATTTGTCCAGTGCTGGGGGAGGACCAGGGTAGGTGAAGTTAATGGGGCACACCTTCTCTGCTGAGGCATCTATAATAGCATTGATTCCCCAATTACATTTACAGTCCTAATTGTTTTTCTGATCCTAACAAATCTTTTTTTCCCTCAAACTTTTCTTTATCAATAATTAACCTAGTGTTAATGGAAATAATCAACTTTGCAGAAATAATAACTAGCATGGTTTATTTCTAAACACAAATATGAGTGACCAGGCCTGGAGAAAAGCAAATGTACCCTTTGTAGGGTAATCAGACACAGGGATTCCTTTTATTTGGTTTTGAGAATGAGAGACAAAGTTAGGAATTCAGTGAAAAGAATTTTCCCAGGGACCAGCAGTTGGCACAATAGCTATGTTGCTGGACTCCCATGAAGCCAACCATGGTTTGAGTCCCAGACCCAGTGGTTTAAACTCATGAGGGGCACATGTGTGTGTGTCCAAGATCCCAAGAGGAGAATGGACGAGAAGGGATTGTGGCGTAGCCATCCCCCCTGATGGGTGATTTCTCTCTTTCTATCTCCCTGTCTCTCTCTGTCTTTCTGGTGAGTACATGTGCTCTATAGCAAAAACCTCTCCAAAAGAAAAGTTAATAAAAAATAAAAAGAATTTTCCCATTGGTCTGGCCTATAAAAGGTGGGACATCTAGAAGTAGGGGCTTGTAGGTTATAGGTGGGTTTTCTGTGTCTTGGAAAAGGATCAGTAAAGAGTATGCTTTAGCAGAAATAAGGGGGCTTGTATATATCACAAGATACTGTCCCAAGGACAGGATGTAGAAAGAGTCCTGTTATCAATGAGTAAAAATGGTCTATTAATGTTTGTGGGCATGATTCACCTGTCAAAAAGATACTATGCCAGGGTCAGGATGTAGGAAGAGCCCTATTATCAACTGGGCCAAAATGGTCTGTTAATGTTTGTGGGTGTGACTTACCCCAAATCCTTTTAAAGGAATTTTGGACATAGGAAAAAGCAGTCAGACTTCTGTCCTCACTAGATTCTTTTTTTTTTTCTTTTAAAGTTATTTTTCTATAGTAATAATGTGAATGATTGTCCTCCTTACAGAACAAATATTCAGACTCCAACAGCAAAATGGAGACAAAGAGCTGTGTATATGAGGCACACTCACCATTCCAAGATGGGAGCCTTGAGATGTTCTCTCCAGATAGCACCCCAGGACTGGATAACAGAGCAAGACGATAAAGCTAAGAGACCTCATGGCTCCTGGTTTGCACAGGCCCCTTCTGAGGTCTGTACTCATTTGGATATTTATGGTTGTATGTTATTTTTATTTTATTTTCTTTCTTTTTCTTTTTTGTTTATTTCTATTTCTCTTTACTATTTATTTATTTACTTTTACATTCAATCACTGCATATAGTTACAGCATACCATATGAATTTTCCCATCATGAATACACTCTATATTGGTTCAGTCAAAGATATTACCATACATATTATCAACAGATAATTCTGTATTTTTTTCAATGTTTTTGCCATTCAGTGCATTCGCTCACTGGAGAGAGATAAAGAGAGGGAACGTGAGAAATAACTCCCCAGAGAAGACAGCCATTTCTCAATCCCTTCTCTTCCATTCTCCTCTTGGGATTTTGGACATGCATGCACATGTGCTGGCGTGAGTTTCAAGCTGCCAGGTCTAGGACTTCAACCATGGTCAGTCATGTGGGGGTCCAGTGCCTTAACCACCATGCCACTTGCTGGCCCCTTATTTTTCTTAATGAGGGCCCTGAAAATTGTACATACTTCAAGCAGTGCAACATTGATCCATGCCTGCATCCCTGTTTGTTTAATAGACATCTGAGTCCAGTTCTCAAAAACACTGGGTTATTCATCCGAGACAGGGATCCCCACCCCAGGTCTCCTAACACAACTCCTTCCATGCATTATGCTCAATGAACCAATCTCATTATCTACTCATCTCCCCCCCCACCCCAACATACACACACAACCTCCTCCCAAAGGAATGTCTGCCTGTACCATTAAATCCATTCTGAGGCAGAGGCAGGGCTTCAACAGCTGACTTAGGAGAATATCTCTGAAGTGGAATCTATTTATAAGGCACTCGCTACTGGAGCAGAGCCTGCACTGGGTGTCTGTTCAGGGTTCCCATGTAATCCTTAAGGCCACAGGACCCTCTGTGCACACTGTCCCCACCTCCACAGCATACATCACACGCATCCAGGGGTAGCTCTTACCAGTGATGTCATATCGGCTCTTGGGGTCACTGCTCTTGGGCACAGTAACCTCAGACACCTCCTGCCCTGTCAGGGGACCATACCGCAGTTTGTAGTAGTCCACCTCAGTTGGAGGATTCTCCCACTCCACGTCAAGGGAGTTCTCAGTCTCATCTGTCACCCATGCAGTGCCAAGCACAGTGAGATCTAGGGCCAGGGTCACAGGCAAGAGAAATCAGAGATCAGAGATCACACAGGTCAGCTACAGGCCATTGTCTTCCAAATCAGCTTTCTTGACATATTTGGAGCTGACTGCCATTCAGACACTCTACACAGGGCTCAAACTGCTCTGAACTGAATGCTCACCCTTTAGCCTTCTGAGACAACATAAGGATAAGAGGGTGGGCCTTTCCATGTAAAGTTGAGAAAATGCATTTCCAGTGATCTAGAATACAATGTTGATAATGCAACCAGCTCCTCCTTTCATTTCCCAAACCATAGTTCTTGTCTCTCAAATTCTTCCCTAAGAGTTAAACCTAGGGAAAACTGAAGTAGGTAACTGTCAGCTTAGTCCTTTTGAGTACCCTTCCTGTACCTTCTGCCAGATTTCAGCACTTCCACCTGGTATCAACAGTTCTGATGCTGCCTTATCTACCTGTCTTGTAAAGGGCCAAATATGCCTTATAAATACTAAAATATTCATGACTAATTGTCTACTCTTCCTAGGAGGCTAAAGGGCATGAAATTACAATGATTAATACAAAGGAATGGATCACTGAATGGCTCTAAGGGAAGAACTTGAAAGGAGAGTAATGGAATCTTTCAGAATTATGCTGAATTCCAACAGCCATAGCTCAGATGTCTTGGAGTTGCCGAAGTAGCAACTAAGCTTCTGACTTAGCAGGAGCCCAGCTTGAAGTTTGAAATACAGAAGACAATTCTCTCAGATTCTCTTCCTTTCTCCCTTTCTTAGTCACATCCTCACCATACCTCCTTGGAGGTGTTTTCACCTGGGCTAACTGATCTCCCATCAAGCATTTGGGGCAGAGAATTGGTGCAGTAGGCAGGGTGTGAACTCAGCGGTCTCGAGTTCCCTGGGCTCTGAACATCCTTGATCCACTCTCTAGTAGACAAAGAGCCTTTCTCTGAAGCATGTCCTCTCACCTGCTGGTTTCCACCGCCAACCTCCCAGTTCCATCTTTAGACTCCTTCAAAGATGGAATTCCCTGAGGCACAGGACAAGAAGTAAGCAGTGAAAGTGACTGCAGGTTGCAAAAGAGGACCCACATGACTTGAGAGAACTGGAAGATACTGGCAAGGAAAAAACCAGGGCTAAAGGAGAACATGCAAAATTATTGTAGGGACAAGTATTTCTTGCCTGAAGCTACCCAAAGAGCAAATAAGAATGGAGAGAACTTGAAGCAGGGTGGACAGATAGATAAACTTCACAGTGGCAGGATTTTATGAGTTCCTAGAGAAAAATACCAAGGGATTGCAGAAACTTTCAGGACAGATACCTCTTCTTTTACTGGGGGCTTTGGGCACAGTCCTGGGTGTAGCAGAAAAGAGAGACCATGAACAAAAAGTATAGAAAGAGAAATATAGCCCCTGCCAGCCAGGAGCTGCCTGGCTCTCACTGCTAGGCTTTGGTGCTCTGGTGAGCATAGACCATTGCATAGACTATCAAATAAAGCTATTCTGGAATGACGACAGACAAAGCCCACAAGAGAGCATACCATGATCACATCTGAATACAGACAAAAACATGATGATCGTCCAAACCAACTAGCCATCCCCTTTCTGACTACCATGAGTGCCCACTGTTTCTTTACCCTTCACAGCTTTAGCCTTTATCTAATCTTTCTCTCTAGATAAGATTCACTGAGATTTCAACTTCCTGAAAGTATGCAATCCAAAGCATACCCCTGCTTCCCTAAACCTCCCCCAAATCACCTAACACAAGCTCCAACTCTATAGCTAGTTCTAACACTCTTATTGAGATGCCCCCACGGTTCCCCATGGTGTGAACTCTCCCACACTAAAATGATCAACAAACCTGACTTATTCAGCTAGGGATCTTCGGCTGGAGGTTCCTAGGGATCTTTGGCTGGAGGGCATTTTCAAAGGCAACTACAAATTGTGCCAAATCTCTCATGGCCCTTTCCAACACCTACCCATCGCTAACTTACCCTGTTCCCATCTAATAAAGACAGGCAGCCTGATATTTCTGCAAAGGCAACTGGAAGCTAAAGTTCCTGATCTTTCCCCAGGAGTTTCAGACAGGCTGAAGCCAGCACCTTCTTATCAGCACCTGAATAGTTCTTGCCATCTGGTAGGTGTTCCATGAAAATGTGTCAAGTGAAGGAATAAATGAGTCACTCAAACAACTAGACTTTTCCTAGCCCCCTAAAAAGTTGACTTAAGAACTTGCATGAGAAATAAGAATTTCTAAAGAGAACAAAAGCTTGTGTTTCCAAACATTTTGGTGGCCTTGGTAGTACAGGGGAGGCACTGTCCCTCTGCCATCTCCATCCTGCTCTGTATCCTTCCTATGACCTCTGTGAGTAGAGTCAGGATCCTTTGCTCCCTGTCCACTGGGTTCAACCAGTGAGAGTCATTAGTACATCAGAGGGCAAGTTGGAGTAATTTTGGAGTCAGAGTGGACTATCTATATCCCTTGACCAAAAGCACCTCATCCAGAGTTCTTTCCTACAGCTCTCCCTGAGCCTAAGTGCTAGCCATGCCTCGCTCCTTCAGGCTGGGGTGGATCCCCAGTGACATTAGTCCAAGAATGTTTTACCATGTAAACCCTACCCATGGCTCTGCAAACAGCCTCTTCATTAAACTCCCTTCAGTTACTCTATTTATGTCCTCTCTTTCTTGCTGAGATAACTCTAAGCTATACAGATGGCTTAAGCAGCCTCTCCCTCATCCCAACCTAAATTGCAATGGGTTGGAGATGCATGTGAACCTTTTGGCTGCTTGTATGGGGTTCAGGACACTCAGACCCTACTAATCTCAGGGACAGAGAGGACCCATTAAGCCTCAATCCAGTTGGTTGCCATCACTGATTCAGAGGCTCCAATAATCAGGGAGCCCTTCTCCAGAACCTAGAACTGCAGCAGCTGTGTTTGTCAAACCCAAGGCTGGGCAAAGACCTATCTAGCCCTTAGAAGGGTATCTGCAGGGCAAGTAGGAGAAAACATTTCAAGTGGGGCCTCTCTGGGAAACCTGGGCCTCCATCTGCTTCCTCACCTGTGGTGGCGAGCAGATGCTGTGGGCTGCTAGAGACCTCTTTCTTCACGTTGCGCAGGGTCACTATGTACTTGGTTCCAGGCAGCAAACCAAGGATCTCATAGCTGTGCTGCTCACTGGGCACCTGGATCTGCTGCCCAGAGAGCTCCTTTCCCAGTGGGTAGTAGCTGAGCAGGTAGTGGTCCACCTCACTGGAGGGCTCCCAGCTCACCAGCAGGGAATCCTCCGTGCTCTTGAGCAACTGCAGGCCCTGGGGAGCCACCACTACATGCAGAAGGAGAACAAGGTGGAGAGGGAGAGGAGTGAGGGATGGGAACCCAGGGTGGATGAGGGTTCACCCAGCACCCACTTAATTAACAGCGTGACCTCAGTTGTGGAGGATGCAGGCCCAGCGAAGGCACCATTCTTGAGAACACACACATACACCTGCCACTACATCAGCTATCATCTGGTTAGGAGGCCACTCCCACTCCCCTCTCACCCCCCCTCCCACACACACACACACACACACACAGCCATGGGATCACATAAGCCTAGTGTGGTTCAAAGTGGGGACCACAGATCTTCAGCCACAGCGACGTCTGGGAGCCTGTTAGAAATACACATTCTCAGGAACAGCAGTGAGCATAATGGCTATGTCGCTGGACTCCCATGTAGTCGATGGTGGTTTGCATCCCCGACCCGGGGGCTTAAACTCAACGCCGAGCGCGGGTGTGGGCATACCCCACCCAAGATTCCAAGAAGAGAATGGAGAAGAAGGGATTGCAGCGTGGCCATCCCCCCTGGGGGGTGATTTCTCGCTTTCTGTCTCCCCCCCCCACTCTCTCTCTGTCTCTCTCTCTGTCTGGCGAGCGCACGCGCCCTATAGCAAAAACCTTTAAAAAAAAAAAGAAAGAAATACACATTCTCGCATCCCACGCCCCTAGACCTGCTGAATCTGAAACTGGGATGGGCTAGCAATCTGTTAGCAAGCCTCCAGGAGATTCTGGTGAAGGCAGAAGGTCGAGACCGCTGCACAGGACCGTGTGGGTGCAGTGGAGACCGCGCGCAGGGGAAGGAAAAGGCACCTCTCCACTCACCCTGGGCGCAGTCCAGGCCCATGAAGCCCTCCTCACAGTAACACTCGCCCGTGTCGCAGAAGCCGTGGCCGCTACAGTCACCAGGGCAGCGCCGCTCGCTGCAGTCCTCCGATGTGAAGTCCTGGTGGCACTGGCAGACGCCACGCACGCACTCACCATGGCCACTGCAGCCCTCGGGGCAGGGTGGGTAGGCGCAGTCGACCCCCACGTAGGGCGCGTCGCACAAGCAGTGCCCGTCCTCGCAGCGCCCGTGCCCGCTGCACGCCCCAGGGCAGGTTGGCCGCTCGCAGGCAGAGCCGTCCCAGCCCTGTTCGCAGCGGCAGCTGCAGGTCTCCGGGGAGAAAGTCCCATGGCCACTGCAGTGGAGGCTCGGGTCTGGGGGACAGAGGGAAAACAGTAGCCAGGGTGGGCAGCGCCTGGTGGAGAGCTCCTTCAGTGGAGACCCTTAAAAGTGGCTAGCGATGTCTGGCTCCCATGAGGGTCTTCCATTACAAAACAATAGGGCTCTGATACCCTGCCTCCCCTGTCCAGTCTGGGCCAGGCTATTTGACTTGTGAAATCTCAAAGGTGCCCTCTTTTGCCTGAAAAGCTGCCCCACCCAGACCATTTCCCTGCCCATGTGAATTCCCCAGCTCCTTCTCTGAAGATGGTAATTATTTAGTGCCTTTTACGAAGGGACCTTAGCTGGCAGGCTGACACTGAGGACAGGACTTCTGGGGATACAGGTGACATCCAGGTAGGTCAGGGTTTGTCTTATCCTGGTTGGTGGGGCTGCACCTAGCAAGGCAGGATCTTGTGAGAGGAGCCATACTGAGGCCTGGAAAATGGACCTGCAGAAACTGCAAAATAGCCCAGCCTCAGTGGTGGCCAAGGAGGGTAGAGAAGACACAACCAGACTCCCCTTCCTGACCCTAGACAGCAGAAGGCAGCTAGAGGGCGTGCAGGTCAGTTCAATTCCTTCTCGGTTCCCTTCTCCTGCTTCTCGGAACACCCTTCTGTCCTTAAAACACTTCCAAAGTGGAGGCTTCTCCTAGGCAGTTGCATGTAATTTTATTCCTGGCAGTGTCTCTGGTGCCTAGTTCTGAAGCTGGCATATAGGAGGTGCTCTTAACTGAGGCAGTTCCCTCAGGCATACAAATCTATGCCAAAGTGCCAGTCATTGTCATATGGATAAGCCTCACCAGTTTATATGCCAAAGTGCCAGTCATTGTCATATGGATAAGCCTCAGCAGTTTATATGCCAAAGTGCCAGTCATCGTCATATGGATAAGCCTCAGCAGTTTATATTTTTAAAAGGAGGAGGGGGAGAGAAACCATATTTGTAAAATCAAATTGCAATACTTTTATTACCAGTGAAATCTATAATTTGCTGTCTGTCCACTGTGGACCAGTGTCATATACATCACCTCTAGTCCCCAGAACCATACTAGTTGATAGACTTATCCTCATCAGACAATGGAGGAACCAAGGGAACTTTTATCCAAAGTCACATGGCTAAAAAGTGGCAGAACTGGGATTTGAACCTCAGTTCTGCCTAGCCTAAAGGTTCTCTATCTTTCCTTTATATCCCATTGCTTCCCCTTTGAGTAAAGATTAGATCCACAAGTAAGACTGCCCCTAGGTTTGTTTCCACCCAGTAACATTAACCCAGGAGTCCAGACTCTCTTCAAGAGCTGCTGGTCCCTCCCTGCTCGGCCTTCCAG